CGGGGGGGTGGGGTGTGTGGAATCTTAGGGTTATCTGAAGTAGGGTCAGAGGAAGGCTGAGGGGCTGTGGAAGCTCAGTGGGGCTGGGGGTCCTGCAGTTTGGGGACAGAGAAAAGGGGGGGGGGGGAGGGCCAGGGAATACCAAGCTTAGTTTGGTGGGGTTCAGAGTCTGGGGGAGACAGGGGTAGGGCTGTAGGGGGACAGGCCTCTTGCAGGGCAACGAGGTAGTGGGAGTGGGTTCTGGGGGGGTCCGTGGCCTGGGGTTAACTGTGGGGTGGAGGGAGCAGGGGGAGGGGCTAAGGGCTCAGTGGGGCAGGTTTAGGGTCAGGAGGATCAAGGAATGGGTTCCTGGGTGCTGAAGTTTGGAGGTCCCAGATTTGGGGGTTCAAGGTGGGTTGAGAGCTGGGGTACTGGGCACTGAGGTCTGGGGGGCCCAGGATTTAGGGCTGAATCCCAGGCTGCCGAGGCGGGAGGTACCTGTCCGGCAGCGCACATAGGTGCAATTGCTCATCTTCACAGGCCATGGCTCCTGCTGCCCCTGTGTCTCCAGCTCTCCCATGTGGTAGCTCAGGGTGCCCAGCAGCTGCGACACGTTTGTCTGCCCCTGTCGCGTACAGCCTAGGGGGTCCTGCAGAGTGGGGCGAGGGGGTCACAGGCTCAGCCACCTCCCAACAGGCACCCACAGCCCCTGTACTCCCTCTCTTCAACCAAACAACAAACCCCCAGCCCCACCAATGGTCCCCAGACCCCCTCAAGTTTACTAGTGCCCCCTCACAACCCCACTGAGGGTACCCACGCCCCACGCCTCCCCCTGCCCTACACTGATGTTGCAGTCCTGGAGGAAGTGGATCTGTCTGGCCACGGTCTGGATCTTGGGGTTCAGGCTGCGCCCTGCGACCTGCTCCATGTGCCTTAGCTCAGCTGCCACAAAGTGGATCACCCAGAAGTCATAGCACCAGAGGTCCTGGAGGGGAGAGATGGGGAGATTAGATGTGGCACAGGATGAGGAGGGAGCAGGCAGGGAGGTGGGGGGCATGGGTGCCCCTTGGATCTCACCGGCTCCAGGTTGGAGGGCAACAAGACGGGGTA